AGAGCTTGAGTATTAACAACTGGAAAAGTATGAAGGACGTCGCCAGTTCCCAGCTCTGAGAAAAGAGGCTGCAGCAGAAACAGACAAGGGCAGGGTGAGAGGGAGTTACGGGCTGGCAGAGAAACAGGAGAGGCAGGAGCAGACACCCCAAGGCAGAGTAACAGAAGAGCAGAGAGAGATTCCAAGTCAAAAATACACATCACTCACGCAGACACTGGCGGCCTCTAAGGAAGGCGGCCAAGTGTGGACAGGAGGGCCCAGGTGGGAAAAAGGGCAGACTCACTGGGGGGCAGAGGCTTCACAGGGAAGCAGCCGAGGGTCCGGGAAGGGAGAGTCACAGGTACATAAACCCGGGCAGGGGCTGCGAGGTCCCCACTGCCTTTTAGGGTAAGAACAAGAGCAGGGCTTGCTAGAAGCCAGCTCTTCCCTCTACACCCCCTCCCCCAGCAGAGGACAATCCCAGCTGCTGGCAGCCTCTGGACACTGCTTCAGGCCCACGACTCGGCCCTCTGGAACCCCCCTGACCCGCTTTGCTCGTTTCTCTGTTCCTTCAACGAAAGAAAAAAAAAAAAAAGCCCACGGAACACAGCAGAGGCTGAGCCCAAAGGAAGAGGGCAGAGGGAGCTGGAGGGAAAAGTCTATGTACACCCAGGAGCATGCCTGACTGCTGGGGCCACAGCACGGGCACCGGGGTTGGATGAGCGCTGCCCACGACTGTGCCCACCACCCTGTGTATGTGTCCTGCACCTGAGTCCTTGAGGCCAGACGCAAAACCGTGCACCTGTGTCTGGAGTTCCCACAGCCAATCAATTAACAAGTGTTTACAGAGCACACCCTGTGCTAAGCTCTGGGTGGGATCCAGACCTCTCCGAGGAGCTGACCATCGAGAAACTGGGAGGCAGGAAAAGACAGTGAGGGAGACCATGTTGTCGGGAATGCATGTCTTGCACCAGGCTGCAGGAAAGTATTATCATACAGAGGAATTTGATTTCCTCCTGGGGGCGGCGGTTTGGTTGTGTACAGAACCTCAGCCTTCTGCAATGAGAGTCCGAGAAAATATCTGTTGCTCCGTTGTGTACACAGGGGTTGACGGGTAGCTGCATTTGTGTTCGACTGAGTGACAGCAAATGTCACGGCGGGCGAGGAAGTCTTCGTGACGGGGCACATGCGAGCACGTGTGTGCCTGTGAGTGACAGGGTCTTTTGTAATGGCGGGGCTGTGTGCAGCATGCATGCGACAGTGACTCTGTGTGGGTGACGACGACTCCTCCTTGCCCCTGCATCTCAGGGTGACCCTGGGCGTGGGCACGTGCAGGGTGGGGCTCCAGCCTGCTCTGTCTCCGTGGGTGTGTCCTGCCCCTGCCCCCTGAGCTCCACGGTGCGCTGCAGCCTGCTTCTTCCCTTGTCCCTATGTGGGTGTGTCCAGAGCTCCTGTCTTTGAGTCTGCCTGGCCTGTCGATGTCAGGGATGCATGTGTCTTCCCCGCTCATCTTCTACAAGACTCCCTTCATGCCTTCCCCCTCCTGGGGCCGGCGCCAGCGTGGAGGGGCCGGCTCCCCAGGCGCTGCTTCCCCTCTGTGCGCCATCCCCCAGTGGGGGGCTCCTTTCATTGCCCGTCACCCTCCAGCCTCCTTTCAGCTGGGCAAGGAGGGACAGAAGGGGCAAGGAAGGCGCTGCAAGGGGTGGGGGTGCGCACAACACAGGTCCATTTCTCCCTCCCTTCCCCAGCCACGCCAGCCAGCAACTCTGCTGATCATCTAAAGCCCATGGCGCACCCCCCCTACACACACACACACACACACACACACGCACACCCTCCAACACTCGCACA